TCTGTTTTTCATTCACTGCATAGTATACCATATGATTATCTGATGCAAAGAAGATGGAAGGAATATACAGAGTCACTGTACCAGAAAGAATTGATTGACACGGAAAAATTTGAGGACGTACTATATGGACCGGAGTCACTGGTAATGAAGGAGGAAGTAGAAGCTGTACTGAAGGTATTGGCAAAAAATAAGGCCCCATGAATCAATGGGCTACCAATTGACTTGTTTCAGTTAACATACGCAGCCTTGGATTCACTAACCAGTCCATGCCAGGAAATTTGGAGGATGGCTGTTTGGCCAATGGATTGGGAAAGGTCCAAATTTGTTCCCATTCCCAAGAAAGGTGATCTGGCTGAATGTGGAAATTATTGAATAATATCATTGATATCACAGGCAAGCAAAATATTGCTGAAGATCATTCAAAAACAGCTGGAATAGTACATAGATAAGGAACTGTCAGAAGTTCAAGCATGATTTAGAAGAGGCTGTGGCACCAGGGATATCATTGCTGATGTCAGATGGATCCTGGCTGAAAGTAAAGAATACTAGAATACCTATGCAAAGGTGTTTGATTGTGTGGATCATGACACGTTGTGGCTGACATTGAGAAGAATGGGAATCACAGAGCACTTGATTGTGCTCACGTAGAACCTAGACCTGGATCAGGAGGCTGTTGTGCGAATGGAACAGGGAAACACTGTATGGTGCTGGGAAAGGAGTGTGTCACGGATAATATTTTCTCTCCATACGTGTTCAATCTATATGTTGATTGTAGCCGAGTCGATCAAACTCATAGTGATCCTATGAACAAAAGGCCTGCAGCCTTTCTAGAACTATCACCATTGATCAAAGTTCATAGAGTTTCCAGAGGCATGTTGTTTAGGAAATGGATACCACTCCTGCTTCCAACCCTGTCTTAAACTGGAAGCTCCACCAAACACTGACCACCATAGAACATTATGGCATTTGTCACCCCATTGGCACAAGAAGCTGAGCAAATTATCTGAGAAGATGGACTCTATGAAAAGGAATGTGGCATCAGGATTGGAGGGAGAATCATCAATAACCTGTGTTGTGCTGATGATACAACCTTGTTTGCTGAAACTGAGGAGGACTTGAAGCACTTGTTGCAGAAGATCAAGGAATGCAGCCTTCAGTATGGATAGCATCTCAATATCTAGAAAACAAAGATTCTTACCACTGTTTCAATAGGCAGTGTCATGATGGATGGAGAGGAGATTGAAACTGTCAACAGCTTCATCTTGCTTGGATCTACAATAACACCCTTGGCACCAACAGTCAGTAATAAGGAGATGCATTGCACTGGGAAAATCTGCTGTTAGGGACCTTTCCAGATTATTGAGGGGTAGTGATGTCAGTTTGAGGACTAAGGTGTGTCTTATTCAAGCCATAGACTTTCTAATTACTAGTTATGCATCTGAGACCTGGACAGTGAATAGGGATGACAGAAAAAGAATTGATGTTGTTGTGGTGTTAGAGAAGAACACTGAGCATCCCATATTCAGCCAAGAGAGCAAACATATGTCTCAGAGAGGGTGTAGCCAGAGTGCTCTTTGGAGACAAGAATGATGCGGCTTTGCCTCACATACTTTGGACGTGTTGCTAGGAAGTTCTATTCCTTGGTGCGGGACAAGATGTCAGGAAGCATGGAGGGTCGGCAAAGGAGAAGACCCTCAACCAGGTGGATTGACACGGTGATTGTTACAATGGGTTCTTGTGTGTCAGGAAGTGGAGGACAGAACAAGGTTAAGATCTTTTGGTCATAAGATCCCTATGAGTCATGCTAGACTCAAAAGCACCTAACAAAAACAATAAATCTAGTAAGAATTTACTCCTGCAAGATTAATTCCATCAGTCCCTTATCCCTCCTGGCCTACAGGAACTGCCCTACCTCTGGCTCTGGAGGTTCCTAGCAAAAGCACTGTTGGATCTCGCCCAGTCCCATTCACTCTGCACACAGTACTGTCCATGACCCCTCACTAATATCAGCGCTTAGGGGAACAGGGACAGAGGACATGTTATTCACTGATAAATCCTCAGCAGTGCTCTATACTATCTACCAAATGAGGGAATGACTGGAGTGACTCAACAGTGGAGCCAAGGGTCAGGAAGGGAGACCTGGACTTTCCCCATGTCCACTGCGAGTAAATTGTTACTGTGACGATTATCCATTGTAGCATAAAGCAAAGCACTAAGAAGTAGGCTGAAAAGAAACTCACACGGCAAGCTCTGGGGCCTGTGGGGTAGCCGAGGACAGGGGGAGCCATCAGATTCACCACACAGCACTCCAGTACTCAAAAAGAACCACTCTGCAACATGAAGATGTTCATCCGAGACAGCTAAGATGCACAGCTGTGAGCACATCAGCTGCTGTACTCTTAGTGAATTACTGTTCAGTGCTTTATAAAAAAGCTTTGGGAAGACATATGCCAAAGACTAGATATTTTAATTGGCAAGATTACACAGGTTTCACATTGGGCTATTTCAAATGCTACCAAGTACCAGGCAAGGGTGCACTAAATGAGTAAAAGCACTGCCAGGGTGTGTTAGGAAGGGGGAGAAGGATGGCTCTGCTAAGAAAGGGAAATAATGAGTCTTTGTAAAACATGTTGTTGTTGTTGTTGTTAAGTGCCGTCTAGTCTCAGGCGACTCATAGCGACCCTATGAAGGAGAGTCCTCGATGCTTGGGTGTCTTTCATCCTCTCTCCAGGTTCCGGAGGCAAGCTATTATGGAAGTAGATGCCACTCCTTCTTCCAAGCTGGTGTAAAACATGTTGTTGTTGTTGTTGTTATGTGCCGTCGAGTCGTTTCCGACTCATAGCGACCCTATGCACCACAGCCCTAAACCCTGCTCTATCCTGCGCCAACCGCACCGCCTCTGACACACCCATCCCGATTACCCCAGTCACCGAATCAATCCATCTCATAGAGGGTCTTCCCCTCCTGCGCTGTCCCTCAACCCTCCCAAGCATGATGTCCCTCTCCAAGGACCCGTCCCTCCTGGCAACATGTCCAAAGTATGTCAGTATGTCAGACGAAGCCCCAGAATCCTTGCCTCCAAGGAGTAGCTTGGTTTAATCCTCCCCAAGATGAATCTGTTTGTTTTCCTGGCAGTCCACATAGCAAATTAAAAATAGGTGGGCTCCATACACCCCTGTTGCAACTTCTATGCATTTGTTTGGGGGACTGTTATGGATGTAGTTGTACCTTGCAGAAAGACTTGTTGAAGTCCTAACTTCTTGTGGTTGTGACTGTAACCTTTTGGAAATAGGGCCTTTGAAGAGATTGGAGTAGAGTGCTGCCCAATCCAATGATTGGTGTTCCAGAAAGACGGAGGAGACAGAAAAGGAAATCACCTATGGGATGTTGCATCTGCTGGTCAAAGAATGCCAAGAAAAGTCCGAGGTTACCAGACTCTGAAGAGACACAAAGGAGGACCCCACAAAGCCTTCAGAGAATGCACGACCTGTACTCCACCTTGAATTTAGGGCTGTTGCATGTTGGGTCGCTATGAGTCACAAGCAACTCGACAGCACATAGCAACAAAAACAACAACAACAGAACTAGGAACAATACATTTATATCTTCATAACTCAACAGTTTGAGTCTGAAATTCCTGCGGATGGGACAAGATGTGCCTGGTCTCTGACAGAGAATTGTGTGTTGTTCTGAGGACTCGATCAGAAATTGACTGAGTGAGGCAACAACCTGGAGGGGTCAGTCAGAGACAATAGAGCCTGCGGGCATTGCTGGCTGCATTCCAGATGGCTTGAGAAGGTGTCCCCTGTGGTGGGCCCAAGGACTAGGCTGCCATGGCTCAATCCTGTCTCTCACTCGCAGAGATTCCCTAAGCCAAGTTCCCTCATCTGAACACAGGGACAGCAATAAGTACTCACATGGCAGGGCTTGAACTGTTTCTCTCCCCAAAACATAGATATAAAGTGGAAGCTATGTAATGCTTCCTTATGATCTGATGAACCAAATAGTTACAAGATGGCAAGAAGGCAGAAGCAATATTGCTCAAGCACATTCCAGCAATGCAAGTTTGCCTAAGGTGCGGCCCGGAAGACAAAAAAAGAGGAATGCGAGCTGAGAATCGGGGGTGGGGGGGCTCAGTCACCAGGAGCTGAGTGCATCCTTCTGGGCTCACTGTGCCAGGTGTACTTGGAAAGTAGGGAAGCAGAGGTGTGTAGAGCCTGCCAAGGGACATTTGGCCTACAGATGCTACAGATAGAGAGCTGCCCCTACAGCTGGCACTTGGAATTCAGACTTCTGAGCTGTAAAGTTCAAATCCACCAGCAGCTCCTAAGGGAAAAGGATGGACAGTTTTCTCCCACACAACATCCTGCCTTGGAAACCTGTTAGAAGGTCAGCTGTGAGTAAGTAAATGTTAAGAGAGCTGTGTTAAAGCCATCCATCTGAATGACCTTTGTTACTGTGGTACTGGATAACCAAGCACCCTCTCACACACGAGTGGCACGTGTCAGCATGTGTAGAGAGCTGGTCAGGGGCTGGCACAGACTGTGCGAAACAGCACTGGTGGGTGTCAGCACTGCTGTTTGAAGGCGGAGACTCAGGGGACCCCAGCCTAGCTCTCATGTCTCCACTGGGAAGGAGGGTGTGAACAGGTAACAGAGTAGAGGCCCCCAGATTCAAACAGAAACATGACACAGGGTCTTCATGCCCAAGAATCTATCCAAGTTTGCTGAAGAAGAAACCATGGATGGGAATAGGGGGCACCAATGGACACATTTACCAGACGTGCCAAGTGTGATAGATATTAAGAGGCTAAGAGAGCTAAGGCTGCACACTCATTCTGAAGCCAGAAGGTCAGAGTGGGAAGAAGAAAGAAAGAGACAAGAAGGGGCTCAGCCCAGAGGGAAGGGACCCCCAGCCTCCATGGCACTGCTGCTCCAGACCAAGAAACAGCAGTCAGCACCATGCCAATCCAGGCCATCATTTATGAGCGTGACACTTACAGTTCTCTGCCATTCCCCGACATTTTAAAGCCACCAAAGGGAGCCTGTGCATAGATGGCATTGTAGCAGTTGATCCTAGAGAAAGAATTAAAGATGCTCATTATACCTAGAAGAGACACATGGGTGTTCAGTGGAAGTCAGCTTCAGAGAATTGCCCACCTAATGGCCTTCTGGAAAACTTTCAGTAATTCAGTCACTGAATTCAGTGATTTTTCAGTGATTTCAACTTCTGCCTTGACATTCTTTCCCTAAGAAACTAATGCTTGAATATGTCTAAACATAGAGCTTTCTAAAAAATTTTATTTTATATTGGTTTGTACACAAAGTTTGTATGCATCGTGTTTCACACAATCCTTCTCTCACATTGTGTTTCATACAATCATTCCCGTGCATTGTTTTATAAAATTAATGGCCATTGAACTATGCTCACCATTACCTCATCTTTCCAGATGCCTACTGGATCTTTCACATCTCCTTTACCCTCTCCCTCCACCCATCAAATTATGTGACTCTAGATTCCCAGCCTGCCCACCTTACCCCTCTGTCCCCATACACATTTTACTAGTTATCCTTCTATTTTTACAATAATGGTCTTGTGCACTATTTGTCCTTATAAGACTGAGTTAGTCCAGTCAGCATAACAGCATAGAGCTTTTTGATGAAATGATAAGGAGAACAAGTGAGAGAATGAAAATGGACAAACTTGAGAAAGGATGGGATAGAAGAATGGCAGTTTAGAAATCAGATAGATGTGACCTCTAAATTCTCCTGCTTCCTGACTGTCTGACTCTTGGTTTATCACCTAATCTCTCTGAGCCTCAATCTATTAATCTTTAAAACAGGAATAATAACATAAAATCTTCTAGAACTATCATCTGTACTTTGCAGATGATCATTCCTTGCTTTTGTACTCAGAAGCAAAACTCAAGCCAGAGGGATAAAGTTTAAGGGAAGTACAGCATAAGGGCAAGGGCCCTAGAGGCAGATGCTAATGCCAACACATAAGAGCTGTATAACCCTGGGCAAACCTGTCCTCTCCTGGTGTCCCCAGTTTGGATCTGTAAAATGGATCTCTTGAGGGTCTTGGAGTCATGAGAACTGAAACACGCACCAAGAACCATCCTTGATTCACAATATGGGAACAGGACTTGTCTGTGGACAAGTCATGAAGCTCACTTGGTAAGCAACTTAGGAGGGCTGATAAGACAAATTACTAACCAGACCGTTCCAGATTCCAATGCCGATGCCAGCTTCAATGCCTTATCAAGATTCTTGGTGAACACAGCTGCTGTAAGTCCGTATTCAGTGCTATTTGCTCTTTTTATCACTTCTTCAATGTTTTTGAATTTCAGTATGGGCTGGACTGGTCCAAAAATCTATGATTTAATAGCAAAAATGGCAGTGAGAGGCATGATCACATAGGGATTTATGTTCTAAGGAAGGCATTTCCTTAGTTTTGTCCCTTTTCCTATAGCCAAACCATATGAAAAATCATTGCAAAAATGATGACTAGATCAAGAATGTTCACCTTGAGCAATGTGATTGTTTAAGAAGTATCAAACTGTATCAAATGGAAAAGAACAATTAGAAAGATTAGAAAGGAAAATCAGGATCCAATAAGGTTATGTTAATGAGGAGGAAATAATTAGGAAAAGGAAGGTAAGGATGGTTATATGGCCTAATTATGATCAATGCCACTGAGTTATAAATTTGGAAAGTGTTGAAGTGATTATATTCTGCTGTGTATAGTCCCAATAACAATAAAAGAAATAAATTACATGTGTGCGTGTGTATAAAATTGGAGAAATATATAATTATATATCTATAAAATTGGAGAAATGCACACAGGGAGCTTTAGTGGCTTAGTGTTAAAAATTGCATTGCCAACCCAAAGGTACTTGGTTCGAATCCATCAGCTGCTCCACGGGAGAAGGATGGACACTCTCCTCCAGTATAATTAACTGCCTCTGAAAACCCCCTGGAGGATCAGTGATGGCTTGGTTTTGAATCAATGGTACACAACAGAGGAGAAAGAACATCTAAAGGCCTTTTAGCAGTATGACTGTTGAAATAAGAAGGAAATTGTCAAGTTTATTTGGAGAGGAAAGGAGACCCTGAATAAGCAAAGCACTACTAAAAGACAAAAATGAAGTGGTTGGCATAGCACTCCCTGATCTCAAAACCTACTACACAGTGGTAGTAACCAAAACAACATGGTACTGGTATAACGACAGGCACAGAGACCAAAGGAACAGATTTGAGAGCTCAGAGATGGACTTATCTATCTATGGTCAACTGATGTTCAACAAGGAAATAAAACCTATTTTATTTGATGAAAACTTCCCTGTATGAACAAATGGTGCTGGCAAAATTGCACTGCTATCTGTGTAAAGTTGAAGCAGGATCCACATCTCACACCATACACAAAAATAAACTTATGGTGGATCAGAGACCTGTGAGTGAAGCCCAAAGCTATAAAGTTTATACAAACTGGGATCAAGTGCAGATGGCCTAGTTCATGGTATAAAGTGACCACCAAACACAGCAAGGAATGTACAATCTGGAGAAGATAAAACTGATGAATGTGACTTACTAAAAATTAAATCCTTGTGTGTATCAAAAATTTTTTCCAAGAGAGTGGGAAAAAACCAAAACTCTACTGATTGGGAAAAAACCACTTGGCAATACCATTTCAGACAAGGGTCTCATATCAAAAGTTGACAGAATTTTACAGGGTCTCCACAAGAAAAAGACTAATAATGGACAAGAGACTTTTCACAGAGGAAGATATTCAGATGGCCAACAGACACAAAGAAATGCTCCAAATTACTGTCAATAAGAGAGATGGAAATCAAAACCACAATGGGATACCATCTCACTCCAGTAACAGTGGCAAAATTTAACAGGACAACAAGTAATAAATGTTGGAGAGGATGTGGAGAGATAGAACTCTTATGTTGGTGGTATTGTAAAATGGTACAACCACTCTGGAAGGCAGTTTGACGTTTCTTCAAAAAGCTGAACACAGAAATTCCATATGACCCAGCTATTCCACTGCTTGGAATATATCCCAAGGAACTTAGAACTGAGGCACAAACAGAGACTTGTACACCAATGTTCATAGCAGTATTATTCACCATCACAAGGATGTGGAAACAGTCCAAATGCACAGCTACAATTGAATGGATTGAGAAATTATGGTACATTCACACAACGGAATACTATGCAGCAAGCAGGAGCAATGATTTTGTGAATTACTACCTAACTTGGGAAGGACTGGACAGCATTATGCTAAGTGAACTAAGTCCCATAAGGACAAATACAGTATAAGACCATTATTGTAGAACGTATATGAGGATCCAAAGTGGTGGAGTGAAGCAGAAGGCTAAGGACGAGTGGAGGGAGGGAGGTAATCATAGGGTCACACAATTTGATGGGTGGAGGAAGAGGTGAGTAAAGGAAATGGGAAAGATCTGGTGTGAAAAACAATGTGTATGAATTTTGTTAAGTGAATCAGTACAAAATAAAAAGTTTATTTTAAACAAAAAAGGAAGAAAAGTATTAAAATGAGACAAAATTTAAACTGGTCAACAAAAATAGCTATGTAGGAGGTAATATTGTAATATTCTCATCATCATAGGTCACCAAGTGTTGGAAAAAATTCACGCAGATTGAGGTGTGCAAAGACACATAGTTTGGGACATTTTTGCTGAGAGGACATTAAGAAGAGTCCTTGGGCAGCATAAACTGGTTGTGTTTGTCTGCTGATCAGAGGCTGGAGGTCTGAACCCAGCGCAAGATGCCATGGGAGCATGGCCTGGTGCCCACCTCCATGAAGGTTACAGCTAAGGACATCCTATGGTGCAGTTCTAATCTGTGAAACACAGGCTAGCATGAGTTGGAAGCAACTTGATGGCAGGAGGCTTGGTTTATGGGGAAGGATGTTCACAGGCACAGCTGTGGAACACAACACACTCACAACACACACAGGAAAATGTTCCCTAGTGGCTCCCCAGTGAGGGCAAGTTACCATTTATTCAGCAAAGAAGGGAAGGGAGAAGGCTGATGGCTGGGTGTTTAAAAGAAGGAAGCTTGTATTTGATTTGATACCTGGCACTACTATAACTCCTCACATCTGTGTGAAGCCCAATGACATACTTTTCCAGTCTTCTCGGGAATTTTGTCTCATAGGGATGTTTAAAGAGTAAATTTCATGCTATCATGATACAGTTGCTGTTGTTGTTAGGTGCTGTCAAGTAGAGTACAACTCACAGTATGGACAACAGACCTGAACCCTGTCCTATCCTGTGCCATCCTTGCAATCTCTGACACACCTAAGTCCCTTGCAGCAGTCATTAGGTCAATATCCCTGGCTAAAGGTCTTCCTCTCTTTCCCTATCCCTTCATCTTTCTAAGCATCTTTCCAAAGAAGAGCCTCTCTCAGCAAATGTCCAATGTACAAGAGATGGAGCTTCATAATCCTTGCCTCCAAGGAGGACTCTGGCTGCACCTTTTCCAAGATATACCTGACAAAGACAGTCCAAAGGCTCAAGGACAAAATTTACTAAGCCTTTGCACCAGGAAGCCCTCAGAAATGACTCACTCTGTCATGGATTTCAAAGGACAACTTCGCAGAATACAACCTCACAGAACTATGTTCTTGTCCCATAGATGCTTAGGAGGGGCCACTGTGTATCCAGGTTAATGATGGACTTGAAAGACAAAATTAGGTTTAAACACTTGTAGAGTCACTCTAATTTCCACCATTTTAAGGATACTCCTGATGGAAGGAGTCCCTGAGCAGTGTGAACAGTTGGCATACTTGGCTGCTAATTCAGAGGTTAGAGACGAAGCCCACTCATGTGCCTGGAAGAAAGGCTTGGTGCTCTGCTCCTGAAAAGTCAGCTTAGGGGCACGCTCTGCACTGACATGTGTGTGGGCTCCCTGACTTAGAATGTACTTAATATTTTAAGTGGTTACCATAGAAAATGTCAATGAAAATTCTATCCATGATATGCTCTTTAAATGAATACTTGCCATTTAAGTGTAGCAGAGGAGAGTGAAAGTGACTTCAGGCTCCGAATCCAAATCTTGAGTCACAGGTAACCACAGCCCTCCCCAACAGAGTACGGGACTAACTATGGGTATACTCAGAAGGCACAGAAGGCTGACTGTTCTCCCTCCAGACAACAAGCAGCATGTGGATATAAGGGCAGGTGGGGTAGGGGTCCTAAGAGACTCTGGACTTGCCATCCAGTTCTCAGGACCCACGAGGGGGACACAGCTCTTCCTATGGCTCCCAAAGGGGATGCTAACAGCCAAGGAAAGGGAAAACACACCCCTCATGAAGAGTCTGGGGTCCTTGAGACCTCAATCCAGCTTCAGCTCAGCCCACCGCTCCCACAGCCAGTAGCTCTGCTGAAGCCCCCTCGTACCTCTTCCTTGGCAATCCGCATGTTGTCGGTCACTTCTGAGAAAACAGTGGGCTTGATGAAGAGCCCCCTGTCCTCGACGGCTGAGCCCCCACACTCCAGCTTGGCACCCTCCTTCTTTCCACTCTCAATCAGTTCGAGAATTTTATTAAACTGCTTTTGATCAATCTGCAACAAACAAACAGGAAGAAGAATCGAGGCTTCTCCAGGGCAGTAGTTACCATTTTATCCTTCAAAGGCCTTCAGAACCATCCAGTGTCCTCTCCCTGGCTGTTCTGTCCAAGAACACATGGCAGTCATCCCTCTAAGGCTCAAATCCAGGCTCTCTGGAGTAAGGGGGAAATGGGCGGTGTCCTGTTCTCATCCTCACAACATTTTCCATTTACTCGCCCCTTTTCCCTGGTAAGCCAGTTCACAGTTGAGATGAGATCCAAGAAGATAGCATCTCTGCTTTTGATTCTTTGCCTCCAACCAAGGTAGCCAGAGTTAGCAAATAAAATAAAAGGTATCATGCTAAATTTGAATTTCAGATAAACCACAAATGATCTTTTAGCATAAGCACGTCCCAATCAATATTTGGGACAGCATGGTTTTTTCACTTGAAATCCAACTCTACCTGGGAGTCCTCTAGTGCCCTGTTCGCCTGTCATCATGAATCAGGAAGAGAATTACTGGGATTATCTGTTCGAGATGGAGTGGGGAGGGGGCGGGTGAGTAAGGAAGCTGGAATCAGAATGGAATGAGTTCGAGAGTTCGTGGACAAGTAAAGGAGCTTATCAGACCTTTTGCTACCTTGCCTGATGATCTCTCTGGGTGGGGCTTGTCCCATGTCACTGGCTTGCGCCTGGCTGGTCCCTGGGCAGAAGTAGAAGGGCTTCTCTTTAGTAGACTCTGGTCAAAGGGAGCAGTGCTTTGTCTGACGCACTATGATTACCCCTTCTTCCCCAAACCTAGGGAGTCCTGTTTCTGACCAGGAATTTGTTAACAGTCCCCTCTATGCCTCGGAGAGTCCAGGTTTGGATAAATTTACTGTAGCTGAGGCTTTGTTTGGATCTTTTTTCATGTGAATATTTTTAAAGGAGAAAAAGGTACATTTGGATGATTTGTCATGAGAAGTGAGTACAATGGGACCTACTCGTCTTGAGGAATGGAGACAACACAGTGCAAAGAAGTTGAGCTGGATCCCCTTCACCTCACACCTTACAATAAACCAAATCCTGGACAGAGCAAAGATTTACCAGTGAAAATCAAAACCGTAAATCTTCAGACCTCTCCTGTGTGAGAAGGCCTCTGCAAATTTAATGTGTAAGTGATCTTTCCATGACTTAGAACTCAAAGGTTGGAAGAGAAAAGCTCTGGATGTTTAAACATGAAAAACATAAAAAGGTGAGGGGCAAAATCAGGATAAGCAAGGCCAACAGGAAACACACAAACTGGAGGCAGCAGAGCTGACCTCTCTAGTATATTGTATAGCTAGTACTACACATGTACAACTGACAAAAAAAAATACAAGCATATGCAAGGAAATGCAGGATTGTTAGATAAAGAAAGGCAGTGGTTTGTTCATATATGCTAATTCATTATAAGAGATACATGTATTTTAAAACTAAAGGAGATACCACTTTTAACTATCAGATGGGCAAAGATCCAAAAGGTTGACAATATATTCTGAGGGGAGGATTTGGGAAACAGCCAAGCTCGAATGTTGTTGGCTAGCTCATTCTCAGCGGAAAGTGATCTGGCATCATATATGGAAGTCACAACCGTTATCTGTACTCAGCATTCCCAATCTGGTTGTGCTATCCTGGGAGTTTCCTTGCACATGTGTGACATGATGCACTCACTGGTTTGTGGGACAGCACCTACCCACCTTTCCCCAGGAGACAAATGCCTAATACATGCACATATGGACTCCTACAGTCATGAGAGAAAGAATGAAGATGAAAGGTCTTCCCATTTCTTGTAAAGAATACTAAAAAGGGTGCAAAATTATGCAAATAGTATAATATCTTTTGCCTGAAAATAATGGCTTTCATATGTATATGAATAAAGAAATTCTAGAAGGATATCCAAAACCTCAAGAACATGAGATACCCAGGAGGGCCAATAAGATCCCATGGCAAGGTGGAGCCTGTTTTACAATAATCTATATACTCCTTTTTCCGTGAGCAAGGTTGAAAAGGAAGTATAGTAAGAGAAGCAAAGATATCAATTGAAGACTAAAGTGCACCTGATTCAGGGCATGGTCTCTCTGATCACTTGTTATGCTAGATCTAAGAGCTGGACAATGAATAAGGATGACAGAGGAAGAATTGATACCTTTGATCTGTGATGATGGAGAAGAGTACTGAATATCCCATGGACTGCCAAAAGAAAAAACAAATATGTCTTAGAGAAGGTGCAGCCAGAGTGCTCCTTGGAGGCAAAGATGATGAAATTCTGTCTCACACACTTTGGACATGTTGCTAGGAACAGCTATTCAATGGGAAAGGACATCCTGCTTGGAAAGGTGGAGTGAAGTTGAAAGAGAGGAAGACTCAACAAGATGGGGTGAAAAAGTGACTGTAGCAATGGACTTGAGTCAGAAATGGTGAAGAAGCCACAAGTTAGGTTCACAGAGTATGAGTCACATTTGACTCAATGGCACCTAACAACAACATATCACTTTTTATAAAGAATGATATGCACTCTTACTTATGCAGTTATTTTCAGCCAAAAAATACTGTACTATCAGCACCATTTTGCACCTCTTTTTTTTGGTTGTTGTTCTTTAATAAGAAACAGAAAAAAGTTCCATACTCTAGACTCCTTTCTGGAGCTCTGGTGGCCTAGCGGTAAGGAGTTGCATTACCAACTCGGAGGCAAGCAGTTCAAACCACCAGCTACTCCATGGGAGAAAGTTGGGCGATCTCCTCCCACGTGACTTACTGCCTTTGAAAACCTGCCGGAACATCAGCTATGGGTTGATTCTGACTCAATGGTACACAACAACAACAACAACAACAACAACATACTTCTCTTTAAACATTTTGGGTTTTTTGATCCAAGCAAATGCACTTCTTCCAATCAAAGAATAAAAGAAAGCATATGGAATAGACCCAGTAATATTCCAAGGCTTTCTGTACTTGTCTCTGAGTGCAACAAGTCCTGGGTTAACATTTCCAGGTGTGCTGAGCCCCAACCCCCAGTGGTGGAAGAGTCTGAGGCCTTCATCACGCCAAGTGATAGTCCCGGGTGGCTGCTGATCACATCTCCTCTTCCGACCAGGCTGCAGCATCTGTCTGTTCTGGCAGTTCTAGGCCCTAGGGGAAACCCTACATATCCTAACTCGGCTCTCCCTAGGGAGTTCACATGAGCATGTTGTTTAAATCTGTGTCTCCTCCATTAAGTTTCAGCTGGTGCTTTCTGTGCAGGAAGAGGAAGTTGCCAGGAGGTGAAGCAACAAGGCAGAGCACAGCCCCAGGAACTGAAAACACAGCCCCCCAGGGGCTAGGCCCAAAGCTGTGCTCTCAATTGGAAAGGGTGGAGGCCAGACTTCACACTTGCCAGGTGGTTTGCATAATATTTATGTGCCTTGCTGCTCAGTTGCCAAATAAACCTGGATGACTGTAGAGGGTTCCGGTGGACACAGGTCTAGGGCAGTTCGCTGTTTTACAGGCAGGAGACAGATAGGGCTGTTTGGACAGCTGTAAGTCCTCCAGAGCAAAATCTAATTACTGTAGATGTAAAAGTTCTTTGGTAAGACTTGAAGTTGTGCACAATCATGTACAGCCACAAGGGGAAAGAGTCTCTGTATTTACATATTCCTGTTTTCAAAACTTAAAACAAGAAATTAAAAATTATCCTGTATTAAGTATCTACTGAGTGCTGTGAAATTCCCATTATAATCACATATCTTGCAGATGAGGAAACACTGAGGAGGACTCTGGGGCCACCAAGTCAGCTCTGTGCTCAGAGTCACACAGCCTCCCATGCAGAAAGGTGGGCAGGAGGGTAGCTCCCCGCACCGACTCATAGATCTGTGACCTGGACCATTACGGCTGGGCTAAAAGCAAAGTAGGTGACAGTCTCCTTTCATTTCAATAATGCATGGGATGATCAGGCTGCCTTCTTTTAAATATTTATCCATCTGCTTCACTTCATAATTAGCAAGAAAGTGATACAGGATGTGCCCTTGTCACGGGGTAGTTAAGCCTGGTGGCTACGATCATTCTCACCCTTTCCTGGTTGTCCATGCAGCCTCCGAGATGTACTCCTCTCCCAGAGATGCCTCCTAGCCTTTGCCTTCAGAGTCACCCTTTGTAATGCATGGGTGCTCTGGGACCTCCGGGTGGAGATCCTGCCTGCCCTCTGTCCCTTTTCACCACTGTGGAATGAAGCAGTCCTCCCTTCCCAGCTAACAAGGGCTTTGGCTACCCTTCTTCTGGGATGGCATCCAGGACACCCGGGATTTATCTTGTGGGTGTAGTAACCTGAAGCTCTCCCATGGACGTGAGAATGAGGCAGAAAAAGGGAACTCAGAGAGAGCAGAAGGGGACAGCAGAAGCTCTGTGAAATGGGAACCTCCTCTTGCGGGCCTATGTCCAGCTCCTGTTGGTGGAAACCAATGCCACAGAGACCCAAGGGACTCTCCTGTTGAAGGATGGTAAACCAGCCCCTAGAGAGCATGCAGTCAGCACTTTTTCCTTACTAGGTGCAGGGCTGCAGAGACAGAGGAGTCACCACTGGCCCTCAGCTGGGTACCTTCCAGTCAGACCCACCAGCTTGTTACCTGAGGTCCATGCTCGGTGCTGGCATCAAAGGGGTCGCCCACTGGCCGCTTCTTGGCATACTCCACGCTTCGTCGAACAAACTCGCTGTAAATCTGCTCCTCCACGAAGACCCTGGAGGCTGCAGTGCAGCACTGGCCCTGGTTAAAGAAGACGCCCTGGTGGGCGCACTCCACGGCCAGGTCCACTGCAGGGGACAGGCAGGCAGTGAGTCAGTCATCAGCGCAGCACTGCAGGGGCTGCAGCGCGTCCTGCCTGAGGTGGAAAGTCAGCCCCAACAGACTGGAGGCTAGAGATCATGTTTGTTCTTAGCATTACCAAAAACAGAGGAGGGAGGAGATTTTCCATCCAACCATATTTAGGGTTAAGTCCCCAACTGCAGGACTTATCAGTGTCTTTGATGTGCTAATGCACATGGGAGTTGCAGCATTCCCAATCAGCACTTGTCCATGGAGAAGGACGCTGTCCCCTTCTCTAAAGGGAAATACAGTGGTGACTCAACAGTCGGGTCCAGCCTTTGTGCAGGAGACCTCATTTGAGATATCCTGCTAAACCCCTGCCTGTCAGTGAAGGCTGTTTCACTGCAATGCTGGTTGTGTCTTAGTAAAGATTCCAGACTAGGAGAAAAGTCCTGGCGATTTACATCTACAAAGCCCATGAAAATCCTCTGGGTCACTGTGACCCAACCTCATTGCATATGGTTATCTTGGGGTCGACTAGCAACAAAAATTTTCAGTGGGACAAACTTTGCAAGACTTATGCAGGCCAATTGGATAGAACTTTTTTTCTTTCAGAATGTCTCACAAATTTGCATGTCATCTTTGTGCGGGGGCCATGCTAATCTCTGCATTCCTTTTTTAAAAAAATAAATAAAGTGTTACTGAAGTGAGCATTGGATAGAATTTCTAAAGGAGTCCAAATTTTCCATTTTAAATGAAAGAATCATCTTATGAAATAACAATACCATGTGCAACTTCGCACACTGTTTCTTTATTTGATTTGATTCTGATTCATAACAACCCTCCACTGAGGTTCTGAGGCTACAAATCTTGGCTGAGCCTGACTGACCTTCTTTCTCTCTCAAAGCAGCTGATAGATATGAACTGCTGATCTGATTGATAGCCAGACTATTGGCAATAAATCACCCTGACCCGTATCTGACTCATATATCTGTGGTTTTGAAGGGTAAAAAAAAAAAAAAAATGAAAGTGTTTATTATGGCACAGCAGAGTTGAATACAAATTGTAGAGCAGACATTTAAATTAAAAACAGTTACTAAAACAAATATAGAAAAGTATCTGTTGGTAAGCTCTTTGAGGACATGCTTAATGGATAAGAATGGTAACTGGATGCCACTGGCATTTACCCAGAGGTGCTTCCAGTGCTGAGTAGTGGCCGGGTTTCCATTCTCTTTCAATCCTTCACCCACACCTCCACGACTGCTTGCTTGAGGAATGCACCTTCCATGTGTATGGAGCAAGGGCCAGACCCCTGCAAGGATGTGGGAAGCATGTGGTGGCAGCCAGGTGGGTAAGGGGCTACCCCCTCCAGCTCCCCACCCTCTTACAGTGCCCCTGCCTTAGCAACCCTCCCTCTAAGCATGGTCCCTTGTTGCACGCCACCCACAGGTGGGGACCACAGAGGGCCAGTGGTGGCACTGCACTGTTCCCACCCTGGGGTTAATGCTGCACTGCCCAGGTGAGTAGCAGGATGCCCAGAGCATGCTTATGGCTCCAGGACAAACCAGCCCCAGTCCAAAGTCCAGCCTGAGCTGCAAAAAGCCCAAGTGCCAAACCTTGACTTCAAATGTGGGGTCCAGTGAGGAAACCCTGAGTCATACCAGTGATGCCACCTCCGCACGAAGGCACTAACTGAGGGACCTCTCTCCTAGTTTTCCTGTCTTTCCTCTGCCAGCACACTCTCTCGGGGAGAACTCGTGCCAGTCCGTTTCTTGTGTGCATGCTTGTAATTCCACCTGACCTGAGTGTGGGATTGAAGGCTTTGTTGTCCAGAGAAGAATGTTTGGAACAAGTGAGCAGGTAGGGGAGGTTATTTTTCCAGAAGCTGAGGTACCTCCTCCCCTGGGTACATTCCCAGGGTGGCCCTGCACCAACAATAGCATCTCTTCTAACACTGGCTGTCCTCAAGCCTTCCAGGGCCGAGGTGGTGAAGGAGAGGATGGGCATCCTGGAAGAGTACCACTGTTCCCTCTAACTTGGCAGACCTGAGACAAGGGCAGGGTTGCTGGGTAGTGTGTGGGTAACGCTCTCACTCGGGGGTCGAAGTCATTCAGAGGTGCCTCTGAAGAAAGGCCCAGCAGTTGACACTCCACACTCCAGCCAATGGAAACCTCAGGAGCACAGTGGTTCTCACAGGTCCACATGACTCAGCCCTGAGCACCCAACAGTACCTGAAACCAGCACTGATGGCGACTGCTGACCTGGAGTGTGTGTAAGCTGTTGGCTTGGAACCGACTCACAAACTTCAAATGGGTTTTCAGAGGTTATAAATTTCATAGGAGAAGATTGCCCATCTTTCTTCCGAGGAGCAGCTGGTGAATTTGAACTGCCCACCTTTGTGATGGCAGCACAACAGAATACCCACAGGCCACCAGAGGGCCTCCTGAGGGGAGAGGAGAGTTAATGCTTATGAGCAGAAAGCATCGGCTCTCCTCCCCACCTTGCGCCACCCTTGGTCCCTCAGGGGACTCTGGAGAAGAAACCAGACCTGGTCCTCATGGTTCCAGCCCCATAAATTAGGGGGTATGAGGCATTAACACTGGCTGCCACCTAAGCCATGTCTTTCTTCCCTGCAGCCTCCTGTCAGCTAGAAAGTTGGCCGGGTACTGTAGACAGAATAGTCCCCAGAGGAAAAACAAACTCGGTGGTCTAGTGGCAAGAAGTTGCACTGCAATCCCAAAGGCACAGGGTTCGAATCCACCAGCTGCTTAGCGGGAGATGGGTGGATAATCTCCTTCCATGCAATTAACTGCCTCTGAAAACCTTCTGGAGAGTCAGCTCTTGTTCCAACACAACGGTACACCATCACCACCACCACCACCACCACCACCACCACCACCACCACCACCACCACAACAACAACAACATATCTGTGTCTTCATTGATTTAGAATTTGGGCTGCTGAGACACATGAGAAAGGCTAGTGGTAAAGTATGTAGAGGATTGTGCTATTAATCCAAGGGCAGTGCCTCTCTGGTGCTTTGAACCGTGTGAAACCAGGTGCCTCAGAAGAAAGATGGACAATCTCCTCCATGTGACGTACAGCCTTCAAAAACCCTGGCAGGACAGCTCTGAGTCAGTACCAGCCTGGCAGCAATGCAAGGGGAGAGGTGGTTCCCAAACCCAGCCCTACAGAGCTCTACACACAGGACTCACAGTCAGCATCTGCGCACACAATGCATGGGTTCTTGCCCCCAAGCTCCAGCGTCACCCTCTTCAGATTATTCCGAGAGGCAGCCTCTTTGACTAGTTTTCCAACCTTCAGGATGAAAGAAAACAGGCAAGATTAAACCTCAAATGTATACGCGAATGTTCTGAGCAGAGTTATGTGTCCTACGCGCTGGCCCCTAGGCCCTGTGACCCTCTGCTGATCACAGGAACACAGCCTTTCTCTGGAATCTGTGGTTAGATCTACTCCACTTGTAGGCCTAGAAGGTGAGCCCAGGAAGGCCAGGTGATTTGCTCCAGGCCACAGCTGGTCAGTGGCAAAACAACTGTTGCTGTTCCAGCCACTGACCCCGGACCTCCTATCTCAGCTATGCATCTCTGTGAGCCTAGCAAGCCAGTCCTGCTAGTTAAATGAGGCTTCAAGGTCACCAGGGGCAGCCCTCCCACCTTCACCAGTGATGTCTGAAATTCTGTCGGGAAGATTCCTCCCCATAGGGGAGGTGGGCCTGGCTGTGTGGTTGCTGACTGCATTCTGAGGGAATCTGCTAATAATAGAGGAAGGAATCTGGAAGCATACAAGGAAGAGAACTGGGGCCTAGTGGTTAGGGAACTGCCACTCCCCAAAAGCAGTGCTCAGCTCAGCCTCCTGAGCACACCTGAAGGGCCTCCTCACAGCACCAGAAACTTCCCTGTGGATGATTAAGCTGGCTCAGATGGCATGCCACTGATCTGGGGCAAAATGTAAACCTAGGTGCCATAAGTGCTAAGAAGGAAGAAAGGTCTTCAAAATAGCCCTCTTCAAACCTCTTGTCCTAGTGATGGACACCAATGCAGCTGGCAGGCACCTGGCAAGAATGGCTGGGCTGCGGGAAGCCAGATGCTACTTCAGTGGCACTGAGCTGTGTGTGTGCACACTAACATGCTCGACTGCTAACTCAAAGGCCAGATGTTTGAGCTCATCCAGAGACACCCGGGAGAAAACCTGGTAAGCTGGAAAGCAGAGGTGGAAACCCTCCAGAGTGCCCTCTGCTCTGCGTGAGGCTGCCAGGAGTAACATCCATGTGATGGCAACTGGCTGGTGAATTATGAGCACACTGTGTGTGCCTCCAAGGAGAACCACAAAAGCCAAGCAAGCAGCTACAGGCTCACAGCTCACCAGCAGCAACAAATAGCTTAGAGCTGTAGGAGGACATGCCAGTTACAAAGACCAGCGGAGTGGAGAAGTCACAGAGCCACATTTTGAGCCACAGCCATGACTGCTGAGGGAGGTGCCTCCGGGACAACCTAGAAAGTTTGGGAAGGCTGTAGAAGTGCTGGAGAGGAGCAGGGCAAGGCCTCTGGATGCTGGGCAAGAGGACAAGACAGACAGGAAGAGCTGCCTTGGGGGCGGGATGTGGGGGTGCACCCTCAGCTGTCTTACTGTTACTGAAGAAAATTATTGTGGCAAAACACATGTAACAAAAAACTTGCATCCATTTTTAAGTGTGTGACACGGCCACCACCACTGTTTCCATACCCTCCTCTCACTGACGGCCCACTGAGGGAAGACCTCTCCCCTCCACAGGTCCCTCAGAGATTGCACGAGCATTCTCTCCACGTCTTTGTTCATTCCAGATGTCTCAGACAGGGGAATGGTACAGGAAATGTCCTTTCATATATTTGTTATTTCGCCAGCATGTTTTCAATTCCATTCATGTGGTGTGGGGGCTTCTCATCTCCTGATGGCTGGGTCACATGACACTGTATGACTATATATGTTTAGCTCATTCGTACATCTGTTGGCTCTGTCTACCCAGTGGCCTTGGTGGTCAGTGCTGTCATAACACACATGTGCTATATCTGTTTGAGTTTTCCTGGGGGTTGTATACCTCCGTGTGTGTGTGTGTGTGTGTGTGTATGCTGGGCCAATGGTAATTCTTAGGTTTAACCTTCTGAGGAATTGCCAAATTGTTTTCCAAAGTGGCTACATAACTAATTCCACCAGCAATGCAAAAGTTCTCCATTAATCTACATCCTTACTAACATTTTTTTTCTTTTTCTGGCAAACCCTATTATTATAGTGGGTTTGAGGTGGTATCTCATTGTGGTTCGATGTTCTTAACTATATGTTGGGGACCCAGCTCTGACTCCTCATCTCCAAGATGTCCACAATGCTTGTTAGAGAAGGACAGAGACAGCACTGTCCCCTAGGGCCATGGAAGGTTCCGGCTAGAGTAAGCAAGAAGGAACTGGAGAAGACCTACTGTACTGGGGGATTTCTTCTTTTCTAAGTATACAGAAACACATTCTAAGATTACTCCACACACAGATGTGTGTGAATCAAAGGGTGAATGCCTTTCTCCTCACTCTCCCTACAGAAAGAAGTGTTTCCTGGGATCCCACACAGGCCATCCAGCATTTCTTTCTGTGGAGGTGCCTACTGCCCACCCTTGAGTTTGTCCTTTTTTCACTGACTTGCAGCAATGGTCCACATAGGAAGGCAGCCATGTGTTTGGGGAACTGAATGGATGACAACTGTTTTTTTCCCCCAGCTTATCTCTCAGTTATGTTTTTAACTTGATAATGATGTTATTTTTCCTAGGCTGACTTACATTATTATTTTATTTTCTCTATCAAGCTCTTCTAGAATTTCTGCATTTTATTAGTTATTTATTTGGCATGAAAACTGTTATCAGTGATTTTGTTTTTGCTCCTGTTACATACTAAAAATTGATCCAAGTGTGTGTGTAAGTATGTGTATGTGTGATAATATTTTAACTTCTCTAGAAGAAAAATCAATGACTTTGAGTTGTGGTGAAAAAGTATTGAGTATCCATGGACTGCTAAGAGAACAAACAAGTTCCTCCTGTAGAGGGTGAAACCAAGCTGCTCCTTGGAGGCAAGGATTTTTAATCTCTTCCTGACATACTTTGGGCATGGTGCAAGGAAGGACCAGTCCTTGGAGAGGAACAGCATGTTTGGGAGGGTGGAGGGACATTGAAAAATAGGAAGACCCCAGATGAGATGGATAGACTCAGTGACTGGGGTAATGGTGGTAGGTGTGTCAGAGACGATAAGGTTGGTGCAGGAAAGAGCAGGGTTAAGAACTGTTGTAGGGTCACTATGAGTTGAAGTTGACTCGATGACAAATAACAACAACAACAAAAGGAAAAGTTCACACATCTCATGTAACCTCACAGCCTGTGAGGACAGTTACCTCTGTAGAGCCAGTGAAGGCGATCTTGTCAATCTGAGGGTGAGAAGAAATGGCAGCTCCTACTGTGGGCCCAAATCCTGTCACAATGTTCACCACACCTGGAGGGAAGCCAACCTGGGAAGAAGCGGAGGTGGTGGTCAGAGGAAGGGAAGGGACTGGTGTCAGCACAGGCCATGTGAGGCCAGGACACCTGGCTGTGCATGTCAGTAAGCAAAGGCGAGCCTGGGCAACTTCCAGAACTCACCTCTGTCTGGGTTGGGTCCCTGGGACAGGCCTGGTTCAGGGTTCATCTCTCACTTGCTCTTCCCACTGTACTCCAACCCATGTGCAGGTGAATCAGGGCAAACAGCCCCATCTCCTCCGCCCCCTCAATGCCAGGAGAGTAACAAGCAGCTACACGCTGAGGTCACAAGGTGGCAGCAACAGAACACCTCCGCGGGGCAGCAGGGAGCCTCCCTGGTCACAAACCCCAACACTTACAGGCAGGACATCCCTCCTGGGATCCCATTTTTTATTGTTTAGTCATGACATGCCAGGCTGCTAATGGAAAGGGCAGAGGTTGAAGTCCACTAGGAAAAAGAAGGGCCTCCTCATCTATAAATCCTGCCACTTCGGAAATAGTCTGAACTGACGGGAAAGCAGGTTCTACTGATTTCTTCCAAGTGGTCACAAGATGTTACCACCTCAAAGCTCTCTTGCTTGTTCAACCTGCAACACTCCACAACTGGCCTTTCTGGAAAAACCAGCTCCTGTGGGGAGGCCTCACAGTGACCCTGCAGGGGTCAAGGTAAGCTGTGCTCCATGGCTTCTAAAGGCTGATTTTTCACAAGTAGGTCACCAGGCCTCTCTTCTGAGAAGTCTCTGAGTGGATTAGAACCTGCAACCTTTTGGTTAACTGTCTACTTCGAAGACAGCCTTATCATTTCTTCAGCTGTCACATTCACGGCTCCCCACCTTGCCCTTACAACTCTTCTTTATTAATTGAGCACACCCAAAAATGAACAAGCTGGACTCGTAGGGGGGGTCCAATTCATCATATCTCCAGTGACACGTTTAAATGTATTTATACGTGAAAGTTTTAGGACCTGGGGGCTTAAGCACTTGGTTTTCCTTGACACTGTGTTTTTGGGAGGAGTTCTAGTGGTGTAATCTGTAGCACATTGTGCTGCTAATCAAAGATTGCATGTTTCCAGCAATTCAAATCCACTGGCCATTTCACAATCTCCTCCAATTATGATATGTTGTTGTTGTTGGGTGCCACTCACAGTGTTCTTGTGTGTGTGTGCAATCAAATCAGATCTGACTGGTACACTAGCAGAGCATCTGGTGGATTTGAACTGCACACCTCTGGGATTGCAGTGCAGCTTCTTGCCACTAGGCCACCAGACCTCCCAGAGTGTTCTTATTAACAACAGATCTGAATCTTGCCCTATCCTGTGCCATCCTCACCATCTCTGACATACTGCCATCCACCAGGTTGAGGGTCTTCCTCTCCTTTGCTGACCCTCCACCTTTCCAAGGAATAGTTTTGCTTAGCAACACGCCAAAGTTTGTGAGACGAAGCTTTGCCATCTTGCCTCTGTGCAGCACTTTGGCTGCATCTTTTCCAGACCTGTCATTAAGATTCCCAGCCTTGGAAAGCCAGAGGGTCCTGGGGGTTGGAACTGACCAGGTGGCAGGAAGTTTGCTTTGGGGATCTTATGTTTTTAGCTGTTGTTTGTTGTTGTTGCTTGCCGTCAAGTGGAGTAATTTTAGAAACTGTGAGTCAAATCAGTGGGTTAGCTATGCCTTGCAGCCCCAGGAAGAGGAGATTGGTCCATGTTGGGCTTTCCCAAGCTTTTAACTAAGAAATAAGGAACTCAAGGACATAACCATATAAACTTAACTGAGATGAGAAATAAAGGCATATTTTTCCATCCCATTCTCCTTTTCATTTGAGCTCTTCCCTTCAGTTCTTGCCATATATAAGCTGGAGACAGAATGACTGAAATACAGTGCCCAGCGTGTGTGGGAGGAAGTGTCTCTTCTGGCTGCTTGTGGCCCAAGCTGGGGCTGTGGCCATGGGAGAAGACAAGGCTTGCCTTGAGTAACCTGGAGAGGAGGCTCAGGGGGCACAGCATCCCAGGAGAAAAGGGGGCCACTTAAACCTGTGAATACAAAGCCCAGTCAAATCCCCAAATGTGTGCTCCTCTCTCAGCTGACCCTCCTGCAAATTCTCAGGACAAAACATTTATTCCTAAACCATAGGTTTGAATCCATAAGAGCTAAATGTTCTCATTAGGACTACGGGGGGCGGAATGGGGTTTCTTCTAGTTCAGTGACCCACAGGCAGAAGAAAGAAATCACAGCTGCCAAACAAAACACAGGAGCCATTTCTACCCCACTCAGCCGTGAAGAGGCCGGCACGGCCATGCACAGCATGCCACGGGCACCCTGTACTGTAGTTCTGGAAGTGGGGCTGCAGAGCATCTTACCTCTTGGATCAGAGAGCCGAGATAAAGCGCAGTGAGGGGGGTCTGCTCCGCAGGCTTCAGGACCACAGTGTTCCCGCAGCACAGAGCAGGTGCCAGCTTCCAAACCAGCATCAGCAGTGGGAAGTTCCACTGCAACAGAGTACATGTAACCAGCCTTGGGGCTGGTTCACCCCAACCCAGGCTCAGGCACCACCCCCTGCTTTCAAGGTCTATGTTTGGGGTATGGGGGTACAGTAGGAGTGAAGACCGGTCAGAACTGCATTCTCACCCAGCACTTCCTAAGCTGAATTCAGGGAGATGCCAACAAGTAAATCTTTGCAAAGAGGGTCCAGGTGAATGAACAGTGGCGTGTCCTTTTAGAGGATTACAAGGTTGTAAAGGCTCTGAGAGGTCCTGCAGCAAGGAGACTGAAGTCTATGCACACAGGATCATCTTCTCTCTTTGCAAAATATACACCAAACCCCACTGAATTGGTGTTTGATAAAATACACTTTAGGAAATGCTTTTCACATCCTTCAGTGACAGAAGAAGAGATTCTGAAATGACTGTGGCATTGGAATAAGTCCCACCACTGACTGAGTCTTCACTATATGCCAGCCTTTGTTCTAAGAGCTTTAAAGAAAATGAGCTCATCTGATCCTGATGAACTTTGTGAGATAGTGTTGTTACCATGCTGTCTACGGATGAGAGAACTGAGCCACAGAAAGGTGAAACCATTTGATCATGGTGACACATTGGCAGGTGACAGAGCCAGAGTTCAAGCCACACTCATCTTCTCAGCTACACGATGCTTAGAATATTGGCTTTGGTGGGACAGGATGAAGTACAGAACTTCAAAGAAGCAATTAGACTAATTCTAACAGTCCCTCAACATCCCATAAAAAATCTGTCTCCTAAGGTTCCAAAAAGGCTAATCAGAGAAGATGCACCACATACCCAGTGTCACATGGCCAGCTAACGACAGCTTCTCCACCCGCGAGCTCTGCCTAGAATTCAGGCCTCTTGACTATGGAGCGGAGAGCTCTGCTCACAGGGCTGTGTACTCTGCCCAACGGCTACTGAGCATGACTGCTGAGGTCTAACCATCAGCTACCAGAGCAGCGGTAACTGACCATTTGCTGTGAGTCAGGGCCCCAGGCAGCTGTCAAGTCTATCTTCTGTGGTCACCTTCAGTGGACTCGAACCTTCAACCTTTCACTTATCAACCGAGCACATTTGTACCATCCAGTGACTCTCTGTTCCATGTTGTTACCAATTATGTTGGGATTCTCTGCTAGAATTTGGGCCCCCTTCTTCTTTCCTAACTCTACCACCTCTGACCATGGACACTGACCATCATCTCCAATCCTGTAAGCAAACATCCAACCTGCCCTTGGCTTCTGATGCTTCCAGAAATGCATTCCTACCTTCCTCACATGACTGAGGGGAGCTGTGCCCAGCCATCCAGGACAGCACAGCACCTGGAGCACCCCTGAAAGCACACTCAGATTCCAGCGTTCAGGCCCGTTTCATTTATTGGTAGCATTTGACCCTATGGACCACACTCTTTCCAGAGATACATTCCATCCACTGGACATGCCAGCTGACCCTGGGTGATTTCCCGCCCCTCTTCTCTTCCTTTGGCAATCTTTCCCATCCAATTGCTTTACCCACCTGTTGGCCAGGAGTCCCTCTGGGGACCTGTGAGTAGCTCCAATCCTGAGCTCATATTGAGCCCCAGGCTCAACTGTGCAAATGCCTCATGGACTAAACTGCATCTCTCGAAAAGATCTGCTGATGTACGAGAAATGTGACCTTGTTTGGAAATGGGGTTTTTCTTCTGTGATCAGTTAAGAATCAAGGTCATATGGGCAAGATGGGCCCTAATCCCATGAGTAGTGTCTTATCAAAGGGGCAAACAGACACAGATCCGAGGCATGCAGTGGAGAGAAATGCCAAGTGAAGACAGAACCAAAAAAGCCCTGAGGGGGCCTAGGCTACCAGGAGCTGGAAAGGACTGGGAAGTATTTTCTTGGAGAACTGACAGAAGACACTCCAGGATCCAGACCTCAGCCTCCTCAACTACCCAAAAATCCATTTGTGTTCTTCAAAACCACTTGTTTTGCAACACTGTTTCCTTAGCCCTAGGACTCCAAAAAATTCCTCTACTTGGATGTTCTATTGACCTTTCAACCTTATCTGACCAGCATTACTTTCATACCCTACTTCAACCTGCTTCCCTGTTTCACCATTGGCAAAGCCATCCACCAGTTCTAGGTAAGCCTCTCAGCTCTCTCAGCATCAAGAAAGCATTAAACTCAGGCAAATCTACCTTGTAGCTTTCAAACTCATACCCTTGCTTGTCTCCAAACTGCTCCTGTCTGATATTTCTCCTGATGTGGAAGCTCTTGTCTTCCGTGTCCCCAGACCCCTTAGGCCAGTACAAAGGGATGCCCATACCATCTGCCAAATGGGTCATGTTCCTTACCTTGTGCAGCTTCTTCCAGGACACTCTTCATGCGACCACCTTACCAGCCCCCGCCCCACCCCCAGCAGAATAACGCTGCAGCTCTCCTGTCTCTGAATTCCCTCCACTGAGCTCTGGCCCTGTCCCCTTCCCAGTCGCCAGGCACCACCATGCTTTGTCTTGTCATCCTTGCTGTTTGGAAAGCCTGTCTCCTGTTGGGCACATTTTTCTTCTCTTTCAAGCCCAGTTCCTCCTCCTGAGACACTCATCTTTCTGACCCTCCAGCTAGCTTTGTTCTGAAGAGGCCATGTGTTCTGTTAACTACAGCAAGGATCGTTTTAGGGTTTCCTGTTTGGACCATGAACCTCCTCATTGTTCCCAAGTTCAATTTCATTATCTTCCCAGAATGAGTCCTTAATAGCAGGGGGCAGGGTGGCTAAATCAGCTCCACATTCCTCAGGTCCCAAGCTCTGTGCCATTGAGTGAGTTCTGTTACTGCCAGTGCCACTGAACCTCACACAGCCGAGACAATTCTGGTCTGGGGGAGGGGAGCAGGAGGCACTTGAGTCTGTCTGGAGCCCCTCCATACTCACAGGAGTGATGGCCCCACACACACCGATGGGCTCGTGTCTGGTGAAGCATACAACATTGTCATCTGGAAGAGAGGCCAGACAGGGAGAGCACGCGTGCGTTAAGCTCAGTTGCCAAATGCCATGCAGGAAGTGGACAAGAAGAAGGCAGAGAGGACCATGTGGGCCAGCTCCAGGTCCAGCCCATGACACCAAGAGTTGTTTTTAACTCCAACTCCAAAAGTAAATCTTACAAAGAGGAACCAGCCAAGAGCCATGTCCATCTGGGTCTGGGAAGGGGGTTCTGGGGTGAGGGGAAGGTGGAACGCTGGAAGAACCCATGACAAGACCGAGTCCTGCATCACTCACCTGTGGGGATGGTTCTGCCTTGAATTTTGTCTGCCCACCCTGCAAAATATCGCAGGGTTTTAATGCAGCCCTCCAGGTCAATAAAAAAGGCATGAAGGAATGGCTTCCCAGTGTCCATTGTCTCTAGGGTCTGCAAGAACAAGAGGACAACACAGAGTCAGACAACAGGGTCCTTCCTTTTAACTCCTAACTCTTAAAGGGTCAGGGGGCAGCTAAGAGCAGTGGCAAGGTTTAGCAGGGTAGCAAACAACAAATGTTTGAGAGGATGTGGAGAGTTGGGAGCTCTCATCCTCTGTTGGGGGGATTGTACAATCACTCTGGAAGGCAATTTTGCCACTTCTTCAAAAAGTTAAACATTGAAATCCTATACCCCAAGGAAATTAGAACTGAGATACAAATAGAGATTTGCACACCAAGGTTCATAGCATCATCATTCACCATCACAAGAACATGGAAACAGCCCAAATGTCCAGTCACAACTGAATGGATTGAGAAACTGTGGTATATTCACATGATGGAATATTATGCAGCACTTAGGAGCAATGATTTCAAAAAACACTACATAACTTGGAGGGACTGGAGAGCATTATGCTGAGTGAGCTATCTCTGTCTCATAAGGAAAAATACTGCATAAGATCATTGTTGTAATAATAGAAGGATAACTAGTAAAACACGTATGAGGACACAAGGGGGAAGGGGTGGAGGCAGAAGGTTGAAGGTGATTGGGGAGGGAGTCTCACAGGATAACACAATTTGGTTGATGGAGAGAGGAGGTGAAGAAAATGAGAAAGATCCAGCGAGGACCTGAAAAGACAGGGCATGAACCACGTGCCTTTGGGACTGCAGAGCAGCTTCTTACCACTAGGCCATCAGAGCTCCTTGTCAGCAGTGATTAATTTTATAAAACATAATAAAAGGGAATGACTGTATGAAACACAATGTGAATAAAGGAAAGTGTGAAACACAGTGTATATGAATTTTATATGCAAGCCAATATAAAATAAAAATGTAAAAAAACAAAAATAGTTGGAGCAGGGGAGGGAAGACCATGGTCTTCACAGTCAGAAGTGTCTCTTCAAAAAGTAAAATGCTAACCTTGTGTGCAAATGAAGCAAGGCTACAGCTCACTTACCTTGGACATGTCTCTGGAAAAGACTCCTGGCTAGTAAATGGCATCCTGGCTGTAAACCAGAAGGTTAGCAAACCCAAGGGAAGCCCTGAATGAGACAGGCTGCCATGCATGCACCCAACACACTAACAGTCATGAGGCTGGCGCAGCACGGGTACCCTGCTTTCTGTTACACGCAGGTTGTGTGTCTGATCCAACTGAATGGCAACTAACAACAACAACAACTTACCCTCCAGAATCTAATTGCTCTGAGCTGGAGACTCAAAAGGTAATTGCAAAACACAGAGAAGAAGGGAAAAATAAAAATGTATGTCAGGAGAGACTCTAAAGATTGCACCGGAGTGTCAAGAAGCCAAAACAAAAGGGAAACATCTACATGCAAGATTAAAGAGCTGAACAGAAGATTGCAAAGGGCAGCTCGGGAGGACTAAGGAAAGTATTATAATAGAATAAGCAGATAAACAGAGAGCTGAAATTGGGGAATAAAAAGGGAAGAACTCATTCTACATTTTTCAAGCTGAAAGAACTGGAAAACAAACTTAAGCCTTGTGTTGCAATACTGAAAGATGCTATGGGCAACATATGGAATGACCCAGAAAGCATTAAAAGAAGATGTAGAGAATACATAGTCACTGTACCAGAAAGAATTGATTGACACTGAAAATTTTGGGAATTACCTGAAGCCAATGCTAATGAAGGAGGAAGAAAAAGCTGCATTGATGGCATTGGCAAAAAATAAGATCCCAGGAATCAATGGGATACCAATTAATGTTTCAATTAACAGATGCAGCCTTAGATTTGCTCAAGCAGTCTATGTTAGGAAATTTAGAGGACAACGGATTGGAAGATGTCCATATTTTTTCCCATTCCCAAGAAATGTGATCCAACTGAATGTGGAAACTACAGAACAATATCATTAATATAATTTGCAGGCAAAGTACTGTTGAAGATCATTTAAAAATGGCTAGAACAGTAATATAGATAGAGAACTACTTGAAGTTCAAGCAGGATTTAGAAAAGGTCATGGATAGATCCTGGCTGAAAGTAAATACCAGAAGAATACCTATTTGTGTCTTATTGACTATGCAAAGGCATTTGCCTGTGTGGGTCATAATAAGTAGAGACATTGAGAATAATGGGAATCCCAGGGCACTTAACTGTGCTCATGCAGAACCCATGCTTGGATCAGAAGGCTGTTGTACAAACAGAGCAGGGAACACTGAATGGGGGTAAAATTGAGAACGGTTTTATTCTCTCTTCATACTTATTCAATCTGTATGCTGAGCAAATTAGCTGAGAAACTGGACTCTATGAAGAGGAGTGTGGCATCAGGATTGGAGGGCTACTCATCAGTAACTTGCAATATGCAGATGACACAACCTTACTCGCTGAGAGTGAGTAGGATTTGAAGCACTTGTTGCAGAAGATCAAGGAATATAGCCTTCGGTATGGATTGCATCTCAGTGTCAAGAGAACAAAGATGCTTACCACTGAACCAATAGTGTCATGATGGATGAAGATGAGACTGAAACTGACAACAGCTTCATCTTGCTTAGATCCAAAATTAACACCCTTGGTGCCAGCAGTCAGGAAATAAGGAGATGCATTGCACTGGGAAAATTTGCAGTTAGGGTCCTCTCCAAATTACTAAGGAGTAATAATGTAAGTTTAAGGACTAAGGTGCATCTGATTCAAGTCATAGTCTTTCTGATTACTTGCTATGAATCCAAGAGAGGGAAATGAATAAGGATGACAGAAAAAGAACTGACACCTTTGAACTGTGGTATTGGAGAAGAGCACTGAATGTGGACGGTCAGAAGAGCAAACAAATATGTCTTGGAGAGGCTGAAGTGCTCTTTGGAGGCAAGAGTGATGAGGATTTGCCTCACATATTTTGGACATGTTGCTAGAAGAGGCAATTTCTTGGAGAAGGACATGATGATGGGAAGAGTGGAGGGTTGGTGAAGGAGAGAAAGACCCTCAACTAGGTGGGTTGACGCAGTGACTGCTGCGATGGGCTCTTGTGTTTCAGGAAGTATGTGGAGGGTGCAGGATAGAACAGAGTTCAGATCTTTTGTTTATAGGGTCACTATGAGTCATACTCGACTCGACAGCACCTAATAACAACAAACAACAGTAAAGTGCAAACAAGATCTGCTGCAGATAGGCAAGTCATGTGCAGCTCCCTATATCAAGGGCTGGGCAGCCAGTTGGGACAGCACCTGCCATGTGGAGCCCTGACAAGGAGGGCTGGCTTCTCAGGATCACACCCTTTGTCAAAGTGCCAAGCAAGATGGGGCCTCATCCTTGCCCACCAGGTCAGAGGGTTGGCTACCTGCACAGAGGGGCACCTTTCATCACTCAATCCATGCTGCAGAGGCCGGATATCTGGTGACAGTGGGCAAGCTGCCCTGGCTGTGACAGAGTGGGATTGGACAATGCACTCAACAGCAGGACTCTCCATCATCAGTGAAGTCTGAGAGAACCCCTTTGTCTTCAGACAGGCAGCTCAGTTGCATGTAGTTTAGAAACTGCCAGTTTCCCCCTCACAGGAAGTGGCCACTCTGACACACGCCTGGGGGTAAATTCCTGTCAGGGAACCAGTGGGAGAGGCTGCCCTGGAAAGGAGAAAGGCTGTGATGTGTCTCAGTATGGCCTTGCCAGTGATCCACTCTGAGACAGTGGAGTCCACTGACCAGTGGGGCGCCGGTCATGACCTAGCCCTGCAGTTTCTCACAGTATAGTACTGGCAAGGCTGTGGTTGCCTGCACCAGCATCTGGAGGTGACCCTGGACAGTAACATGAGCTGCTGGTCAGGTGTGGGATCAGTATTCTCTAAGCACTAGGTAAAAACCTGTGAATGGTCCCTTTGTAGAACTCTGAATCCCTGTTCATGTCTCCTCATCTGTAAGTGAGAAAGATAACATGACCGACTTCACAATCCCTGGGTGGTGCAGCTATTTGTGGTACTAGCACATCTGACTGCTAACTGAAAGGCTACAGGTTTGAGTTCACTTAACGCCAACTGACTAGAAAGGCCTGGTAATGCACCTCAAAAAAAATCAGCCTTTGTTTTTGTGTTGTTGCTTCCCCCTCCCCCATTTTCAGAGCATTTTTATATAACTCTAACTCTGAAAGTATTATTGTTTCAAACTTAGGAATGTGATAAATGAACTTCAAAATTACATTTGAGCCATTGGACTTGATGTGCATGTAGATATCATTTTTACCATCCTATGAAATGGCTCCCACAGATAAACTGTCTAAACATCTTGAAGTTGCAAACATGGATCAATGGTCAACTTTGAAAATGTGAGAGGTGCAGTGCTGCCAGGAGCAGCAATGGTGCCAACAGCAACCTACCTAGAACTACAGGGTGACTGTATTTGTTTTGTTGTTGTGTACTCCTGAGTCAGAATCCACCCACAGCTGTCCCTTCAGTGGGTTTTTGGAGGCTGTAAATTACATGGAAGGACATTGTCCAGCTTTCTCCTGCAGAGCAGCTTTGGGTTAGCCTTGCAGTTCCTTTCCACATCTTCTCCTATGTCATTAACTCCCTCTGAAAATCCACCAGAGAGTCAACTATGGGTTGGGTCCGACTCGATGGTATATAACAGCACCACAAGAGCTCCCCTAGGGCTATTACTGGGGTCAAATCAATCTTAATGCGCAGTAGCAAGCGCTACACAAGCGTTAACCATGAAATGAGGAACCACTACACAGGCCATTATTATCTTTCCTTCAAGCACGAGGCAGGAACTCAGCAGTCTTCATCCGGGCATATAAAGCACAGAGCTGTTAACTTCTGAAGAATACAGGCTGACCTGGGCACATGACCTGGTCCTCAGATGATGCCAATTTGACAACTAATGGGCTGTGTTTAAGGAGCCTCATGGCACAGTGTGCTAACCTAAAGGTTCTAGTCCATCAGCAGCTCTGAAGTAGAAAGACAATCGGTCTCCAGTAGTAAATATGCACAGCTTCAGAAACCTGAGGGACAG